TCCTGACCAAAATTGGCCAGAAGCCCCTCTCAGGCTTATTCTCCAAAATAAACCTGTCTTTGACTGTTGGGCCACTTTTCCTGTTTATTTCCTCTTTTGTTAACTCTTACAATTATATCCTAAACAAGGAGTGGATTATTCATGCCTCCCTTTTGTAGACCATATACTTCCTGACCATCTATAAACTTGTCATGGTATTGGTGGTAGTGTAGCAGTGAGGACAACCAGAGGACACTCTGGTCACCATCTTGGTTTTGATGGGTTTTAGTTGGCTTCTTTACTGCAAACTGTTTTATCAGCAAGGCCTTTATGACTTGTATTTTGTGCTGACCTCCTATTTCACCCTGTGGTTTAAAATGCTTTTACCATCTGGGAATGCAGCCCAGAAGGTTTCAGCCTAATTTTACCTAGCTCCTATTCAAGATGGAGTTGCTTTGGTTCACACATCTCTGACACCTGGATCCTCTTTCTTTCTAGTCCCACCAAGAAAACTGGGGTAAAGCTTCTGGAAAGTTTAGTTCTGGCAGGTTTTGATTTTTACTTAATAGAACCTGTTTCTCTTCCCTTGGGAGTTCTCTAGGGGCTAAACTGAAGGATAGACAGCCTTCATAATTTAGTGATAGATTGCTAACTTCTGGGCTTTTGACCAGCAACCATCTAACACAAAAGTTGCAAATAGGCAGCCTGTGGACTAAATTTAGCCCACTGAGTTGTTACTTTTTAACTACCAGACACTTTAAAATGTTTAATTTTGTTTCTTTTTTTTTTTAATTAGGCAATTTTACATGAAAATATGGACTTCTACTTTCTTTTGAAAATTGGAAGTTTGGGCAACAGTGGGCCCTGCATTTCTGAATGGCAATGATTAGAGCTGTGTATTAAGTATCCTTTCAGTAGAGCATGTGATCTTCCATGCACTGCTGTCCCAAACACTCCCCACTCTTAAACCCAATCTAATGATTCCATTCACTGTTACAGTCTTGGCTCCTACAGGCTCCTGGTGTGAGATATTAACAACTTCTTTCAGGTGCTACATTTGAGGTTGAGGAAATGCCTTTAGGCTCCAACTTATTAGTTAAGGCATCATTATCATATAATCAAGGGTAGTTTTCTGTATGTTACACAGAAAAAAAAAAGTTAATTGAAAAAATAAAATTAAAGAGATATGAAAAATCTCTTTTTCTGAGATATATGATATATATCCTATATATCAAATGAACAGGCCAGGCACTGTGGCTCATGCCTGTAATCCTAGCACTTTGGAAGGCCAAGGTGGATGGATCACTTGAAGTCAGGAGTTCAAAACCAGCCTGGCTAACATGGCGAAACCCCATCTCTACTAAAAATACAAAATTAGCCGGGTGTGGTGGTGCATGCTGGTAATTCCAACTACTCAGGAGGCTGAGGCAGAAGAATCACTTGAATCCGGGAAGCGGATGTTGCAGTGAGTCACCAAGATCATGCTATTGCACTCGAGCCTGGGTGATAAGAGCAAAACTCCAACTCAAAAAAAAAAAAAAGAAAAAGAAAAAAGAAGAATCAGCTGGGCGTGGTAGCTCATGCCTGTAATTCAAGCACTTTGGAGGCTGGGGTCGGGAGTTCAAGCCCAGCCTGACCAAATTGGTGAAACCCGGTCTTAAAAAAAAAAAATGGCCGAGCATGGTGGCTCACGCCTATAATCCTAGCACTTTGAGAGGCCCAGGTGGGTGGACCACCTGAGGTCAGGAGTTCAAGACCAGCCTGGCCATCATGGTGAAACTCCATCTTTA